GCATGCACTAAACAATTGCAAAGGGAAGGCACTGCTGACATTCTTGAAAGAGAACAGGCACTATATTGCCTAAATGGATGCTAATAGTGATGGGAATTATCAGTGTGGTGCAGGGATTCCATTTGTGTGATTATTGCTTCTTCCATGGAATAAACCATATTTCTTTGAAATGTATCATTTACAAGTTTTCCTTATGTTTTCCTTTAGTTCCTTTGAAGACAAGCATGACAAAATACAATCCTTAGTTAATTTAAGTGCTTATAGTGCTTATGTTTATCTTTCAGCTATTTTGCATATTTGGATTGCAATAGAAAACCACATGGGGGGTTCTGGTTTAAAACATTTTTATGAAACAAATTTGTATCAAGTTCATCCTAACCTGTCTTTAGGAAACGGGCATGTTAAATTAATTGCAGGAGCTCTTTTCTAAGATTAAAAAGAAAAAAGATGGAATAAAAGCATAGTTCCACAGATATTTCACTGTGTAGAGGAGACCATTAAGGAGACATTGTAGCTCTAGCCCTTCTCAAAGAATTCCCATCTAGGTAAATATCACCAGTAAAAGAATCCCTTACCACTTTTATACATCTGAACAATCAACCTGCAGTAAAATCTTCAGTTCTTCTCTACTTTGGATTTATTTTTATTTCCAAATTTGAAATTATGGGAGGTTTTGGGTGAAATACAATTTCCTGACTGGCAAAGTGTTTTTCTGATTCTGCCCTATACTTCTACCTTTTTTTGTCAAGTGAATGGACTGTCTGGAGAATTTTTATTCACCGAACACTGCATCAGTGAAAAATATTAAAACTACGTATGGAAAGTATTCATGAAAACTATTCACCTTGAAAGACACAGGGGTTTTGGCTTCAGTTTCTTAACTCAAAATGTCTGAGATTTTAGTTTCATTGTTCTCCTTTGGAATTGTCCTTTAAAAATCTAAGATAAGAGTTTTACATTATTCAGTTCTAAGAACAAGAATGATGTAACATTTCAAATAAAATTTGACTCTTTTTTCAACAAGGACTTGATCAAGAACTTCCTTGCATTAAATTTTTATCACATTAAAATTGAAAATATTTCTCAAGCTGTATTCACTGTTTCTCTTCCAACTTTTTGCTTAAATTTCCAAGAAAAACTAATGACAGTTACAATAGATAATTCACTAAAGACTTCTTTGGAAACTGAGTCACAGGCCAGTTAAAATTAATGTGAGGGAGTCAGAAAAAAGCAGCAGAAAAACATGTTAGCTATGTTAAGAATATAGT